TAGGTTCAAGCCTAACTGAGGTTAGGACATGGCTTGTTATCTAAAATAGAAACAAAAGAATAAATAAAAAAAATAAATGCATTGAACTTGATGAGGAGTCAATATACCACTTGTACAATCATTAAATATGGGTAAGACAGGGCTTGTTATCTAAAATAAAAACAAAGAATAATATAAAGAATATAAATGCAATGAACCTGAAGAGGAGTCAATATTAGGTTCAACTCCCTAGAAATAGTTGGGACATTATCAGAAGCTAAAATAGATGTATTCTATAATATAAAAGAGTATAAAAAAATATAAATATAAGGCTAACTTTATTTTGAGTTGTTAGATTTTGTAGGGCCTCGCTATCCCTAGTGCGTTTCTTTTTTTGATTGATCTGCCATCTTTTTCTTTTATTAATGATGGATAAATCACCACCTGTACAATCATTAACTGAGGTTAGGACATGGCTTGTTACCTAAAATAAAAACAGAAGAATAAATAAAAAAAATAAATGCATTGAACCTGATGAGGAGTCAATATACCACCTGTACAATCATTAAGTGAGGTTGGGACATGGCTTGTTATCTAAAATAAAAACCAAAGAATAAATAAAAAATAGATTAATGTATTAAACCTGAAGAGGAGTCAATATTAGGTTAACCTCTCTAGAAATAGTGGGAATATCATCCATCATAAGCTAAGTATTCTAAAATGAAAAGTATAAGCCTTTTTAGTATATATAGATGAATAATTTATTTTGCATTTGGTAGATTTTATTGGGTTTCATGTCGAAAAATATTTTCTATAAAAAAAATAAAATAAAATCAATAAAAAAATAAAAATAAGTACCTACCGATGACATGACGTAACGATGACATGGCGTAGCTATGACGTAGTGAGGACATCGGAAAATTATAATATAGATTATTCATTATAAGCCTGTTGTTCTTAATATCATTTATGACTTGTTTTAATTCAATATCTTTCAAAGTTTCATCACGAATTTGATTAAAGTTAATAGGTAAATCCCCATATTCATTTATTACAGTAATATCTTCAACAGCTGCATCATGACATTCTTGTGGTAATCTCGAGAGACAATCAGGAACCACATTATATTTACCGGTTTTATACTTTATATTAAAATCTTATCCTCCTAATGTTATATTCCACTTCTGGAATCTTAAGGACTTAGTGCTATTATCCTTAAGACCCTTGGTAAACATGTGAACTAGAGGTTTATGGTCAGTAATAATTGTAATTTTGTGCCGATTAAGTATTCCTGGAACCTCCTTATAGCGAACATAATAGCGAGAGCCTCACGCTCAATATTGGTATAGTTCATTTCGGATTTTAATAAAGTTCTTGACGCGAAAGCTATAGGTTTATGGTCAGTAATAATTGTAATTTTGTGCCGATTAAGTATTCCTGGAACCTCCTTATAGCGAACATAATAGCGAGAGCCTCACGCTCAATATTGGTATAGTTCATTTCGGATTTTAATAAAGTTCTTGACGCGAAAGCTATAGGTTTTTCTTTACCATCTTTTTCAGTATGATTGGCTGTATATGCCATATACTACATAATTCTTGCAAGAAGGCAATGAATGTACTATCTGTGGATGTCGAAATAATTGTGATGAAATGTTTTAATGAATTTAGTTAATTAAATAAAAGAGTTAATGAATTAAAAGAGTTGGTGAAGTGGTCTGGCTTGGAATGATGTGAGTTGTTGCGATATATACCTATCAGGTGGTTGTCATTAATACCTGCCATCGTTAGAATTTTAAAATTTTACAAACCCTTAAAAAAATACTTTTTAAATAAAGATTTTAAAAACTGTCCTAAAATTTTGAAATATTTTTTCGAGCATGAAATGGCAAAAGCATATTTGGGATTCGTTTCACGTGTAAGAAATCTATTTCATGCAGTTAATATTCATTGCAATCAGAATATTCTTTATTAAAAAAAGATTCACAAATCATGCTAGTGCTACAGCTCTGTTCATCTCTACAGTTAAAAATTGATAATAAATTTTATGGCGCTATTGCTAAAAATATTATATTAAAATGTTCAAATAATACTCTAATTATACATTTTAAAATGAAGCAGTTTATTAAGACACTTTTAGAATATCTACAAATCAAAATTTGATTTTAATAACTCTAATTACAAATGTATAAATATTATGACCTTGGAACAGAAACCATCAATTGATGGTTTTTATAATTTAATAAATATATTAAAAATACCGAAAGACATTGATTCCTTGTTTGAGGAGATTGTAATTCTCTTTATTTTTTATGATTCGCCAAAATACTTAAAGTTAGATGGTCTAAAAGCAAAGGAGAAATGGGTAGAATTTTTTCGTAATAGCGATAAATCCCCATGCTTGGAAAAAATATGCGAGTATGTCTTCTCCTTACCTCATTCTAATGCCATATCCGAGTGCATTTTTAGCCAGATTAGGACTGCCTGGAAAAAGGAGAGAAATCGGATTTCTTCAACATTAGAGGCCGAGCTAATGGTTAAACAAATATATAATATGTCATGCCAGGTATTTTATAAATATCTCAATAACGACGGTAAACATTTAGTTTTATTATTTAAATCTCAAATAATATATAAATAAGTTTTAGCAATGGCGCCATAAAATTTATTGTCAATTTTTAATTGTAAAGATGAACACATCTGAAGCATAATTGTGTGAATCTTTGTTAAGATTCTTCTTATTGCAACCACATATTAACAGCATGTAGTAGATTTTTGATATGTGAAATCATTCCTAAATATACCTCTGCCATTCATTAATGAATTTTTTTTTTTAAATGTTTGAACAGTTTTTATAATCTTTATTTAAGAAATATTTTTTTAAAGGCTTATAAAATTTTAAAATTCTATTGATGGCGGGTATTAGGAACATATCGCGACCAACATTGTGATGACTCAATTCTGTAAATACACTCTGATTTTACCAAATTCACTGGCATTATCAGATCAGAAAGCTGTCATGTAATTTATAGATAATCTCGAATCTACTATATTTACCATTATATGGTTAGCTATGTCTTTGGATTTTTATTTGAGGGGAAAGAATTTAATAGTTTTATTGAAACGACCTTAATTTTGTTGAAATAGCTGAGGATCAAGGGAAATATTTTAATATTTCCCTTATTAGATGTATCTGTTAAAATTGCATATGTATGCCCATCTTTCAAATCGTCAAGAATTGACCTCCTGGATTTAGGTCCAAAAACATTGATGATAGCCTTGCTCATTTTTGTTCTACAAGTATAGTTTTCATTTATATTAGAGTCTATGGGGAAAAGATTCTACCAACATTGTGATGATAATCTCTGTGAATGTTGTACTACAAGATAAGTGATTAAAATTGCGGCAACTGTAGTTGCATCTGTATTATTTCTTATGTTTCCCCTTAACGGCGCCACTACTTCAAAACTTAAATTCTCTTTTTTACAACCAAAGTTTTCGAGTGAAAGTTGTCATTTTACAGCTTTAAAACTTTATTACTATCTATTTATAAATTGTCAATATTTATTTGGTTTATTTTCTCTTTTTTTAAACTAATAAAAATATTTGGTACCATTTTTCATTATATGCATTCAGGGTTGGGTATTTGACCGGTCAAATACGATTCAGTCAAATTCAAATATATGTTATGTAAATATTAACTTTATTTTGAATATAATAGAAAATGAATCTATAATATTGATTTTTTAAATTCATTGTCATTCAATAACTAACGTTTAGCTCTCTTTAGCAGAGTCTTGTTCTGATTCTATTCAATATTATCATTTTCTTTAGTATTTTTTAATCCATCTTCCTGATGTCGAGATCTTCAATCGATTTCTATTTTCATAAGAATATTAACCTAAATCGACCTATTTTTTCTAAAGAAGAAGTAGAACTAGGAATGGTTAGTCTCTTAATGGACATGGTGGGCAATGTTTAAATCCATACTTGAGGTCGGAATTTATTGTTTCTTTGAAAAATACTGCTTTCCACATAATTTACTATTAAACATGCCTTTTTTGCTTCTGAAATTAATTATATAATTTTATTTTGGTCATCACCACCTTGTAAAATGGCTAATTCTTGAATTATATCACATACTTCATTGAATTTACTACTAGTGAGTTGCTCCTCTTGATATTGAGGACCCAAAAAAATAAGTAACATTGTGATCATATGTATTAATATCGTTTTTCCCTTTTTTAAACATATTTTTAATTTTTTTAGAGTATTTGACCAGGTCAAATATTCCCCCGGTCAATTGAATTTGACCGGTCAATTGACCGACTTGCCAACCCTGTATGCATTTAATATTTTCTTAGATTACAATCCAATAGTATTTTAGAAATTTTTTTTTACAGTTTTAACTTATATTGTTTACTTTCTCCTAACTAGAAGGTAGTAGGCTTTAAATATGCTAATAGCTCAACTCAAGGAATTTTTTTAATTAGCTGAAATCTATTTAAAATGAGGAAGATAACTGAAGGAGTAGGAAGGATTAAAGGAAACAGATATGGGTTAGGGTTAATATTAAAAATGGTTTTTAATAAAATTTAATCCTTTTTTATTCATTATTACCTGTCAAATCTAACAAGTCATAATAAACTTATAGAAATTTAAATAAATTCTCTCTTAAGTTGGCCTGAATCTTTATATAGATATCATAAATTAAACATATTAGCCAATATATAAGTTTTTTATATAACAGAGACTGCTGATGTACCATTTGCATGGCCCGGATTTTTTAAAAATATTTTTAATTTTTATTGCTAATGGCGATTTAAAATATTTGATATTATAATATACGGCTTGGACCGGCTATTTTTTAAAAAAATCTTTTCAGGCCCGGCCCGGTTACATTTAAAAAAGTTAAAATACGGTTAGGTCCGTAAGTCTCTGTTAATGATATTAAAAAAAAATAATTAAAAAGAAAAAACTAACAATTATTTATTATATTATTTGAGTTTTTTTACCAAAAATTTTAATTATTAATGACAATAATTTATTATAAATGAATGAAGGCTGGAACGAGCTGTTGATCGCGTCGTTTTCCCACCGGTCTATTCCCATTACAGAAGAAATTCAGCTTTCTAGTGGGGTTCATATCCACCGATCTGCGGCACACCAAGCTGGTGTTGGCGCCATCTTTGACCGCGTTCTAACCGAACTGGTAGCTAAGATGCGTGAAATGAAGATCAACCGCACCGAGTTGGGATGTCTTCGGGCCATAATACTTTTCAATCCAGGTACCGTGCACTTTTCATGCAACATATATATGTATTGTTTTAATTTTTGAATTGAAGTGCTTTAAATATATCGCATTTTTTTAAATGTTAAGATACTTTATTGTTCAGCTGCTAATATTTTCGAATTATATTTTAAAATAACTGAAATTTAATCTATATTAAAAAAAATTACTTAGGACTTACCTTTAATCGACTATGACACAATGTAGTAAATTTTAGTTACATCCAAAAAATTATAAGATATTTTTTATCAAGCATATAATATTTAACTCCACTAAGAAGCACGACTTTTCTAATTTTCTTTTATCCCAATAGTTATTTCTGCCAATTGTCCCTAGGCTCCTTAGGCTATTATTTTTCTAAGATTTTAGTTAAAAAATTTAATGAGGATCATTCCTCTTTTAAAATATACAATCAACTCAATTCGCTGTGTTTCGAGGCAACTATCTTAGTTTCCTCGGATCTCAATGATAACCATTTTTGCCCCCCCCCCCCATGTTTTTTTTAAAGAATTTTTGTCTTTTTTAAATTGTTTGCTTGATTTTTTTAAAAATTTGTTATTTTAATATATTTATTTATCATGCTATTTTTTATATAAATAAAGAAAGAGATCATAAACAGAAAAGAAAAAAAAAGAAGGAAATACTAATTGTATACATTTAAATTTATTGAATTGTATAAAAGTGGTGTTTAAAATTAATCGACCTAACCCTTATGAAATATTTGATATGTGGTTATAAAACAATAATAAATGTTATTTTTTAAATAATCTTATAAAGACGAATATATATATTTGCGACATTTATGGGGCTTGAATTACCACAGTTCAAGATTATATTTTGCATATAATTTTTTAAAACTTAAAAAACATCAAGAATATCTTGTAGCATGGCTCCAATTCTAAGGCCGCAAATTACCCTAATTTCTAACCCATAATGTTTTTAATATAAAATAAATCATTAGACGCCAAAAGCCTCAAAAACGTGAACCAGGTAGAACAGCTGAGAGAACGGGTTTACGCCACATTGGAAGAATATTGCAAACAGACATACCCGGATGAACCAGGCCGGTTCGCTAAGCTATTACTCAGGCTTCCCTCTCTTCGCAGCATAGGGCTCAAATGTCTCGAGCATCTTTTCTTTTTCAAACTCATTGGTGATACGCCTATAGACACATTTCTCACTCAATTACTCGAGGCCCCATCCATATTTCCTAACACTCCCTCTCCGCCCTTGGTCTCCCATACAACAGCTGAACTATAGTGACTCATTTTTTAAAAACCTCGGCATTCGGAGCTTCTTATGAACTAGGATCGACCTCACCTAGTTAAATACACATTTAGTCTCCCCTTTTAGCTCTCATAATAGACAATTTGGCTTGTAATTTTTTTTTTATCTGAGAATAGAAACTAGATTTATGCTTTTTTAAATTTATCTATATCTTTTGTATTATTTAAGATATATATATATATATTAATTAGGTGATTTAAAATAATTGATTAAATTTTTAAGAAAATAGTATATTTTTAATTTTTTTTAATGTTGTTTTTATATTGTTATGATATATTATAATTTATAAATGAACTAATTTCTCATGAAATGATTTTTTAAATTCATTTGCTTAAATGTTTTTAAAATATTTTATGAATAACATAATTAAAAATTTAGGTATATATTATACAATTTATTAAAATTAAATTATAAATCGTTATTTTATGGGTTAAAATAATTAAGAGATATCTGATTTTTTAAAATAAATATGTATGGAATATTATGCAAAAAAATGAATACCTTAATATTAACCATTTTATATATTTTTTAATTTATAATTACATAACCTCCCTGGTCTATTGACATACTTTAAGTGAATTGACTATTCTTTATTTTCAATTATTCTTTATTTTTAAACTTATTATTAATATCGACGAATTCTCATAAATGGTAACTTGGAATGATTATATTACGAACAAGTTTTTTTATATCATAGATTAGTTTCTTTTATCTTTGCTAAAATACTGTTCATGCCACAAAACTTCAGCCTTACGATTAACTAATGATAAATGAATTCAGGATATATAATATGATCTTCCCTATTTCTTTATTACAAAATTATATTATTTACCGGTCCGAGTATAACAACTTGATATATAATACCATTAGATTATTTTTTATCGTTCATGTTACACGCCAATGTTATGTGAAGAGGATATAACTAAAGAAATGAAAGGTTTTCTAGTTATTATTTTTCTTTTTACTCTCTTTTATACACCTTATTACTAGCTATTTTTATAAAACTCAATATTTATTTATTACTATCTGATGATTATTGATATGTGATATTTTCGATGAGCAAAAATTAATTTAAGACTGTTAACATAATAAAAAAAAAATTTTGTAATTAAAATGCATAAGATTCAATTTATTTTGAATTTTGCAAACAATAATACTGGGTTTTAACCTATTTATATTTGAACTCAATGATTAATTTTTAGATTTATTAAGTATTTATTATATTGTTGAGGAGATATTTTTATCAAAAATATGTTAAACGTTTTATATGATCTAACTTCTCTTCTAAACTTTTGTGCACATCCAAACAATTTTTTATTTTGTTATTTGAAATATATTTTTTATTTCTTTATACAAAATGTTTTTTGATATACTTTTTATATTGAAAAATAAATTATATTTTATATAAATATATTTTTAACAAATTCAAATATTATTTAATTGTTGACAATAAATTGATAAAATTGCATTTTTGTAAATTTATCTCTAATACTTTACCATATCACAAAATAATTAGGAAAATAATTTAGAAGATATAAAAATGAAACAACCACTAAATTTTTTTTTGTTAAGTAATTCATTAAATGAAATGGTAGAAATAGTAAAACTTACACAAACATTGATAAATCTTAAATATATTGTAAAAGTTAATTAATTTTTGTTTCTCTAATTTCAAATACTGCATTTTATCGTTGCTAGATTCAAGGGTGTTAAAATCTGTGAGATTTTCAACTCCATTAAATTTTTACTGACCATCCTGAGATGACGTCTCTATAGTTTTTTGATGCGGGTTATTTGACTCAAAGAATCATTCTCATTTTAAAAAAAACGGGGGGAAGTTTTAATTTTAGATTATTTGCCTCAAGTCTATCCAATATGAAAGATATTAATGAGGGCACATTTATATATAAGAAGGCTTATTTATGATTTATTATTTGGATGGTATTTAATAGGGATGTACAAATATTTTTTATCTGATCAGGCTGATTTTCCTCTTTTTTTAATATCAGTTATCGGGCGATATTATTAAATTTTTCGATCGATAAGATTACGTCTTAATTTATAAATTTTAAAGCATTGTTAATTTTTATGTAAAAATATGTTAAGAAATAATAAAGTAGATAATTTATTTTTATAATATGATTTAACTAAATAAATAATTTTAAAAAAGTTGTAACAATTTACATTGATCATGATATAAATAGACTAGTTACTTTCTATAAGAGATAGGAAGACTTTTGGAACAAAAAAATAATACGATAATATTTATATTTTTTTTAGATTTATGAACTATAACTGAATAAATAAGTCTCAAAATTTAGCTTTGTATATTTTATATGATTTGTTTGTATGTTATAAAAAATGTAGATGAGTATTTTTAAAAAATATTGAATGTATAGATTAGTGATATTGGATGGATAATTGGTCGATATTAAATAATTTTATGTCAACTTCTAAAAAGTGATATCGGTGCGATCCACATCTTGTTATTAAATTGGAATGTAAAGTTATGCAAGAAATTTTACGGGCCTGGTTAGTCCCAAATTTTGCAGTTTAACTCCCACGATAGACAGTCTGGAAATATATCTAATCCAATGCTAGATGTACTTTCATGAAAACCAATTTTATTTGATATGCATTAATTCAATTATCCGCCTTCATCCGGGTCCCATCGATTAGGTATTTTTGTTAAAAAATATTTTTATTTACCCAGGATTATTTTAATTTTGCTTTAAATATGAAATCCATGAAGTTGTCCGAACAATTGGAAGCACTAATTCTAAAATTTATGCCCATGTTTTTTGCTTTATTAGTGACTGCGAATACTTGAATCTAAGATACAAGATCCTTTTGTATCTAGTACTCAGTATCTTTTGACATTTTTAATAAGATAATAGTATCTGTATTTAAGATCTTTATTCTGAAAAGAATCTTGTATCTTTTGTTTTAATATTTATGTTTAATAAATTTAGATATCACGGATTATAACCTTTTCTATAATCAAAATTAGCTGGAAAATTTACAACTCTCATTAAGATAGATAAAAATTAACAACATCAAAACGAAATAAGTAAAGAATATATTTTATATATAAATTAAATGTAACTCAAAAGAATAAAATTACCAATTTTATATAATATTTTTTAATTTGTAGGATTAACTCTCGTGGTAGTGCAGAGCAGACGGTAGTGACAGGATAAAAATAAGTTTCCCTGAATCAAATCCCAATCTTAAAATTTTAGATTAAATATAAGTCAAAAAGGATAATATACGGCTGAATTCAAACTTGTATAAACAACAAAATGATAAAGGGTTCAACAAACTCCTATTCAATTTTTGTTAAACATATTAGTATATTATTTTTATGATAATTTTATGTTACATCTAATTATATATTAATATTTTTTTAAATTAGAGTACCATTTAGACATTTACACCCAATATAAGTTGTATTTAAAAGAGCAAAGAAGAAAATCAGCAGTCTCTTAAAATAAAACCAATAAATACAAAATAAAATTGATATGGAGTAATGGGAAAATGTATAAAATTGTGGAAGGCTCAAATCTTCTGAAAAGATAAAAGAGATAACAGGTGGTAATCAGCTAAAATTCCCATGCATAATCAGATGGAATAGCCTATACTATAGTATGACTTCACTGTTAAAATATAAATTACACTTTAATTTATTATTTGAAACAATTGATTGTCCCATTATTAATGAAGCGGATATTGTTTATATTGAGGAATATTGTTAAGACAAACGATAAGGGCAGAGTTCTATAGAATTAGTGTCCATCTAGTTGTGGTTAAAAGGGACAAGGTAAACTTAAAAATTTAAGTTGCAATATTGTCCATCTTTATTAAAAGTTGTACAAGATGGTATGGGCAAAATATTTGGGAAAATTTTAATTATTATCACATCTATATCTTAAGAACTTCTGAATTGTCGGATGATAAAAAAGATACTTTTATATTATTAAAAGAAGCCCTAAATGTAGCACCAGTAGTATATAATTGTTATAACCTTGTATATTTTTTTTATTGGGATTATTGATTTAATTTTAAAAAGTTATTGAAAATATGAAATAATATTTTTTTTTTGTGTTGTAAAAATAATAAAAAAATAATCAATATTCGATTTTATTATTATATAAAGAAAATTATAAATATTCGTTTTGTTTTAAAAAATATACAATAAAAATTATTGTGTGTGTTAATTTACCTCATTATCAGTTTTTAAGTTATCTCAGTTTAGCAGTCGCAACAATTTGTTAGTTTTTACTTCAGTATCTTTTTAATTTAGCTCAGTTTAGCAGTCGCAATAATTTGGTGCCGTTTTTTTTAAAAAAAAATAAAATGAAAGATACCTACAAAGTTATTCGGCATAAAGCAAGTATTAATCACTATACGTAAATTACAATAAAGTAAAAATTTAAAGGTAAAGGTAAAATATATTTTTAATTATATTTTAAAATGTATTTTTGTATAACTGTAATTATGACCATAATCACTCTTATATATTTGTTATCGTTAACTAAAGTAAAAATATTTTTAATAAAGGTTTTAATTAATTTTTTATAATTTTATCTGTTCAAAAATCATAGATTATTATATAAAAATTGAAATATAAAAATTATATAAAACCAATTACGAAGGACACTAATAAAATATATAAAAATAACCATGTTTAATCGTAAACAAATATAAAAACGTTTAAATATGTAGAATGTAGTAATTTTTATGTAATTGTAATTGTACTAATGGGATTAACCTATGTATGGAGAAGAAATAAATCAAAGAATATATTAAAGAAAAAAGTTATAATGAATGAAAAAATTGATGAAAGGGAAAAAATTATTGATGATATATCTAAATTTAAAGATGAAATAATGGAAAGGAAATATCATTAGCGATATTATAAAAGAAATTAATATCGTTAGAGATACTGTAGAAGAAAATAAATTTGAAAAATTAATGTTGTAAATAGATAAAATTAAAAGAAAAATAGAAGAAGAAAAAAATAAAGGGATCGGAAAAAGTAAAATGGAAATAGAAAATTTTAAAATAGAAGAAAGGGGAATTAAAGAAACAATAATATATGAATTAGAAAAATTAAAATTAGAAATAGTAAGAAATGAAAAAGAAAAGGAAAAAATAAAAAAAAGGAAATTGAGGGAATAAGGAAGATAGTGAACGTGAAAAAAGGGAAGAAATAGAAAATAAAAAGAAAGAAGAAATGGAAAAAGTTGAGGTAAAAAAAAATGGAGAAGAAAATTTTTAAATTGGAAGTAGAAAAAATGAGAATAAAAATAAAAGAAATAGAGGAACAAATTAAAAAGAAGAAAAATGAATCTGAACATTTTATGAAGATAATAAAAGAGAGAATATTTATCATAAAGAAGATGGCAGGAATCGACAGATAATAAGGGGGCCAAATGGACATGTTTTATTTGCGGAAAATATGGACATATAAGCCGAGATTGTAACGAAAGAATTGTGCAGAAAACTCTACCAATTGTTTGTGGAAATATGGTCACAATGCCGAAAAAATGTTGTCAACTTTTAAAATACAGGAAAACGAACGAAGGGTAATTTGAAAAATTAATGTTGTAAATAGATAAAATTAAAAGAAAAATAGAAGAAGAAAAAAATAAAGGGATCGGAAAAAGTAAAATGGAAATAAAAAATAATGAAATAGAAAATTTTAAAATAGAAGAAAGGGGAATTAAAGAAGGAAAATTAAAATTAGAAATAGTAAGAAATGAAAAAGAAAAGGAAAAAATAAAAAAAAGGAAATTGAGGGAATAAGGAAGATAGTAAACGTGAAAAAAGGGAAGAAATAGAAAATAAAAAGAAAGAAGAAATGGAAAAAGTTGAGGTAAAAAAAATGGAGAAGAAAATTTTTAAACAGAGTTGTTAAACGCTATTTTTAAAAGTAGCGCGCTACCGCTATAGCTATTTTTCAAAAAAAGTAGCGCGCTATTAGCTACAAAGTAGCTTTAGCTACTTTTAAGCTACTTTTTATAAAAAAATTTTTAGAAACAAATTTTTTTTGCTTATAATGTAAATGTATAATAAATAATATATAAAAATCAACATTTATAAATATAAAAATTAGTTAGTTTAGATTATAAAAAATTAAGCAATATAAATAAAT